GAGGTGGCACAGAGCCTGCAGGCACAGAAGGCGAAGGAGGAGGAGGAGAAGGAAGTCATCCACCCTCTGGATCAGGATTACACCCTGCTCTGCTGCCAGCTCTCCCTGCTGGACTCAGCTTCCCAGGAATACCAGGTGCCGTATGTGCCATAGTGCCCCATGACTGTGTTAGGCCTGCAGGCACCCCAAAGGTCCCCACTGCCCCAGGGGGACTGTGGGCATTGCTGGGATGGCTGCCTGCAGTGACACAGCTTTCCTGCCTCCCTCCCTGGCAGCTGATCCAAAACTATGTGACACAGACTGGGCACAATTTCCACATCCTCAACATCTGGCAGGTGGACCGAGATGGTGAGGTGAGGAGAAGGAGCTGCTCACCCCTGTCCCACTGTGGGGAAACCCTGGTTGTACCCCAGGATGGAGCTTTGTCTGCATTAGGGCTCTGGGCATCTCCACCCAGGGGGGCTTGAACCCAGCTGGCCAGGGGCAAACAAGTACCTGCTCCCCTGCCCCTCCAGCCTGGCATGGGCGTTGGGCTGGGGGGGGGTGGTGTGGCAGTCCCCCACCCCCGGGCACCCATGTCTCCCTCCGTGGACAACCTTTAGCTCTACACCTCTCCAGGACAAGCGTTTCAGAGCCCACGACCTCCTGGAGCACCGGCGCCTGCTCTGGCATGGCACCAATGTGGCAGTGGTGGCAGCCATCCTGAAGAGTGGGCTGCGCATCATGCCCCACTCGGGCGGGCGCGTGGGCAAGGGTATCTACTTCGCCTCTGAGAACAGCAAGTCAGCCTGCTATGGTGAGGGTCCTGGGTCCACAGAGCTTGCGGGAGCCCAGCTGCTTTCGCATACCCCCTGCCAGGCAGCTGCTGGGCACGCCAAGCCCCTTCCTTGCCATGGCAGCCAGTCCCTGCATGCTGCGGTGGCCTGGGCACAACCAGATGAGAATGCTAGGGCTGGTGCCATCATCCCTATCCCCTTCTCCTATGGCAGTGGGCTGCACAACCAAGAAGGTTGGCATCATGTTCCTGGCAGAGGTGGCTCTGGGCAAGCCCTACCGCATCACCTGCGATGACCCCACGCTGTGTCAGCCGCCCACCGGCTATGATAGCGTGCTGGCCTGTGGTCAGACAGAGCCAGGTGAGCCTGGGGCAGGAGGGGGTAGGGGGTCTCTGGGCCTGGGATGGGCACAAGGTGAGGGGGAGAGAGGCCAGATCTTGGGCTTGATGCGGTGGGGCGGGGCGTTCTTCTCTCCCAGACCCTGCGCAGGATGAGGAGGTGCTGCTGGATGGCAAGAAGGTGCTGGTGTGCCAGGGCAAGCCCATCCCCATGCCCACCTACAAGGACTCTTCCTTCAGTCAGAGCGAGTACCTCATCTACCATGAAAGCCAGTGCCGGATCCGCTACCTTGTCCAGCTCCAATTCTGAGGGTGCCCAGGCACCCCGCGGCCCTGTCCCAGCACCGGCTGGTGATGCCCACCAGCCCAGAGCACAGTGGTCTGGACTCCCGGCCACCCCACCTGGGGCTTGGCAAGGGACAGGCTGGTGTGCGGACAGAGGCTGCTTTGACCATGAATAAAACCACCGTGCCTTGTACCGAGTGGTGCCGATGCTTTCTTGCCTGGTGAGGTGGGTGTGGAGCAGGGCAGGGTGGTGGAGGGTCCCTGCAGGGATGGTGGCAGGTGGCTCTGGAGGGGCTGCAGCCTGTTGTGGCCGTCCGGTGCTGGCAGCCTTCGGGTGAAAGCTGGTGGCTTTGCCAGCCAGGTGCCTTTGTCACCTTAGCAATGCACGTGGCTCATGCCCATCACCATGGTGTCAGAGCCACAGAGGATGAGCAAGATGTGCTGCCCTGCCTGAGCATGGAGGAGCTCATCCGTCCGGAGGGCGAGCGCCCGCCCTCCCTCTGGTACCATGCTTGGTGCCATGCCTGCTGCCCTGCCCCAACCTGGCGCCCATGTCAAGCCCCTCTCTGCCCTCACGTGTGCCCCCCAAGCATGTGTCTGGGTCCCCAGGGTGCCGGGGAAGGGCAACTACCATCCGCATTACTCCGATGCCCCATGGATGCTCCACAGCATCCATGTGCTGGCAGGGAGGAGACACTGCAGACCTGCCCATAGGTCTGTCCCCTGCCTGAGCGCTGGGGATCTCGGGGCTGAGCCGTCCTTGCAGAAGGACCAGGCCTGGCACAGCAGGCGGCCATGCTGGGGAGGGGTGGGGGGGCCACTGGGCTCAGGGACCTTGGTCCCCCCTGCCTGAGCCCCTGCCGGCTGCTAGGACCCAGCAGCTGTCCCCGTGGGACCGACATGAGTGCAGTGACAGCTGGTGCCATCCGCAGCTGGCGGCTACGGGCAAACAGGATGACGAGAGGGTGACGGGGCACGGGGAAGGGGGAGTGTGGCCTCGCGCGGGGACCAGCAGCCCCCATTCTGCTGTGGGAGCGACGCCGGCGAGGACCCCCAGCGAGGAGGGGAGCATCACCCACCTGCCCAGGAGCAAAGGTGCGCTGGGTCCTCCCCACCCACACAGGGGTGCCCCATGGCTGGAGCAAGGAGCAGGGATGGGGCAGGCGGGTTCTTGGGCTGTCCCTCCTTGGGGCAAGGTGGTGCGGCTGGGGCAGGGGGATGGGGTGTCAGCCTGGCATGGGTGCCCACCGGTCCCAGCAGTGCCATCCCAGGCTGGGTTGGGGACAGACTGGGTGCCAGCCCTGGGCTAGGCAGGGTGCCGTGACCTCACCAGGCACCTCTCCCTGCTCTGGTACCTCGGGGTGGGGTTTAGGTCATCTCCAGGTTTCTCTGTGGCTCTTCCTCATTTTGGTCCTTCTCTTTCACACCCCACTCCCCTCCCTGACAGGCAAGGAGAAGACAGCGGCCATGGTTGTGGTGGGGTTTCCCTCTAAGGGATGCAGGAGAAGAGTCCTTGCTGCCCAGGCACCAGAGCTGCTGGCTTAGCCCTCGGGGGGGATGGCTAGCCGAATGGGGCTGAACACCACGGACAGCCTAGAGCCACTCTCCGTTCCCGAGCAGTCAGTCGCCCTGGAGGTGGTGGGCCTCCTCTGCATGGTCCTCCTCACCTTCACTGCCCTGGTGGCCAACACTGTGGTGATGGTCGTCATTATCAAAACCCCCCTTCTCAGGAAATTCATCTTTGTCTGTCACCTCTGCGTGGTTGATCTCCTCTCTGCCATTTTCCTCATGCCCCTGGGGATCATCTCCAGCTCCTCCTGCTTCAAGAGGGTGATCTATAGTATTGCTGAATGCCAGGCCTTGATATTCCTGAACATCTGCTTCATCAGTGCCTCCATCCTCACCATCTCCATCATCAGTGTGGAGCGGTACTACTACATTGTCCACCCCATGAGGTATGAGGTCAAGATGACCATCAGGCTGGCAGTGGCTGGAGTGATCTTCATTTGGGTCAAGTCTGTTCTCATCACTGTCTTGGCACTGGTGGGCTGGCCTCAAGGCAACGGGGCCACCAGCGCCAGCCGCTGCACAGTCTACTGGAGCCCTGGGGCCCACAAGAAGGTTTTTGTGATCATCTTCAGCATTGTCTGCTTCGTCCTGCCCACCATCATCATCTTTGCTGTGTACTGCAGTGTCTACCGCGTGGCCCGGATGGCATCCCTGCAGCACGTGCCTGTGCCAGCACAGGCAGCTGCGCCAAGACACCGATCCGATTCCATTGCCAGCCAAGTGACCATCATCACCACCAGGACCCTGCCGCTGCCCAGGCTGACACCAGAGCGCTTTTTGGGAAGCAATAAGGCCATCCTCACCTTGGTCCTCATTGTGGGACAGTTCTTGTGCTGCTGGCTGCCCTTCTTTGCTTTCCACTTGCACTCCTCTGTCACCGCTGGTGTGGTGGGCGGTGGGCATGGGGAGATGGTGGTCACTTGGATTGCCTACTCCTCCTTTGCCATCAATCCCTTCTTCTACGGGCTGCTGAAC